ATAGATATGTTCTATTTGCATCATATTTTGCTTTATATTTAAATTTCTGCCTATAATAAAAAAAATCCATTTTATATGATAGCAGGTCAAGTGTAGAAAATACCCTTAAAGTATGCATGCAGTGCGTATCACTCCTGAATTGCCAAAAAAAAATTTTAAGTTTCAATTTGTGTAAGGAGTGTTTGACTAAAATGCCCTTACTAGACATTTTATAAATTATATTAAAAAATACCAAAGGAATGACCAAATAAGTCACAACCTATGTTTTGTGACATTTTGATGGGTTGTTGATAAGAATTTGTCGCTTGAAGTTATGGAGTTTGAAGCTCACCCAAATGCGGTATGAATCTTGGTCAGAGACTCTTTGTTGGTGTATATATATATATATATATATATATAAATCTAAATCTAAATATAAATCTAAATTCAAACAAACCTCTTTCAATAATACATACTACTAATGAGAAAAGAAAAAATAAATCAATCAATCAATAATAACAAAAAAGAATGAAAAAATAATATTATTATTATGGAGAGTATGAATTGAATTAGATTGATTTGAGGTTGGATTGAAGCTTGAGATGGGTTTGGATTTATTTGGTGGATTTATTTATTTGAATATAATCCATCAAAGAAACACATTTAATTACATAATATGTATCATTTAATTTTAATGACCTGTAAGGGTAGGATAGTAATTTAGTCACTATCCTTTCTTTTCTTTTCTCTCCTCTATCTTATCCAAACAAGAATAACTATTCTTTCTTTTCTTTTCTCTCCTATCTATCCAAACACGAATAAAAATTATTACTATCCTTTCTTTTCTTTTCTTTTCTCTCCTAACTAATACTATCCTTTCTTTTCTTTTCTCCCCTATTTATCCAAACACACCCTTAGAGATTCTAAGACCCTTAGTTATGATTTCCCAAAAAAAAAACCCTCCCGGTCAAGTGATTTCCCGATACTGTCACACTAAAATAAGAATATCTCTCAATCGGAATGGAATCTAAAAATGATATTGGTACCATTGGAAAACTAACTCAAAATGATTGAACTTAGACTCAAGAATGACCTAATTTGGATCTGGAATGAGAGAGATATGACTGTTGTAATATCGGGTGAAAAATCTGCCCAATGCATGAATAGTGGTCATTTTACCCCTAGTTTCATATTTTATCCGTTTTGACCCTTTTGATCTTAGCTTCTGCATTCGTCTTCTACTTGAGTCTCGTGATTTCTTATAAGGTCATTTTTTATTTAATTTTATTTTATTGTTTTCTTTTAGAGGAAGTGTCTATCTCTAAAGATATCCTTTCTTTTTTTACTTCCACATTTCGGACTCGTTATCGGGGTCAATTTTTGAGTTACTCACTGACGCTCTGAGTTATAGAAATTTGGGCTGTCACGTGTGTGTGTGTGTATATATATGTATACAAAGTGTTGGTCTCTTACTCACCGTGGAACAAGAATTTTTATCCGTACCATATATAATTACTATGGATATAATCCTACGGTCATATTACAAACCCACCATTTTTCTTTCATAATCCAACAAAACCACTATCCTACCTGTTTAAAAGTTTCTAAACCACTTTTCTCCCCAATTAAAAAGTTTCATAAACTAACATTACTAAAAATAAAATAAAATAGTATTAATCAATAGTTTTGGTGGGTTTGTGTGTCTGTCGGAAGATAAAAAAAAATAAAAAAAACTGAGAATAATGGGGGAAAAAAGAAGAAGAAGCAAAATCAAAGTTCTTATAAAAACCTCTCTCTCCAAATATTGAGCCATTCTTATCTAGACTTGAATGTCTTTCTCTTTAGTCCCTCTTCTATCCATCCTACACATATAAAATTAAAATTAGTTATTGTACCTTTGAATACTAAAAGAACTATATATCAATGTGTTTAAATTATTGATTAATTTGAAAAAAAAAAAAACGTTATTTTTTTTTATATTCAATTAAAATTAGGATAAATATTTGTTCTTATTGATGCATCTTCCTGAATTTTATCACTTTTTATAATGTACACTACATATGATTTGGCCAAAATAAAGAAAATGAAAAATAAAAAAACACTTTGTCTTCTATATGTGATACTAGAGTAAAAAAAAAAAAAAAGAAAAAAAAATTTGTGACATGATCATTACCCTGAGTAAGAAATTATAAGACTAATTTTAATTTACTTGATGTCCATATCCTAATGCAAAATAAAACTATCAATTAACTAAATATGAAAAAGGTTACATGTGATATTCTTATTGTTGATAGTTTATTTTTTGGTTTGGTAATATTAGTTTAGGGAATTTTAAATAAGAAGAAAAGATAGAATAGTAGTTTTATTGGATTAGGAAAGGAGAATGGTGGGTTTGTAATATGACCATAGGATTATATCCAATTGTCAGTGTACATGGTGTGAATTAAGGGTGTTCAAATAATTTGCTAATCCGTCAAATTGATCCGAATTAATCCGATTCGTACAGTTCGGTTCAGTTTGTTAAACTAATGGTTTTCGATAATAGTTTTAAAAATTAGCAATTCGCAATGAGCGGTTTGGTTAACGGATTAAATCCTGAAAAAATCGAACCAATCCGTTAACTGATCTGATCCGTGAATATATAATATATATATATATATATATATATATATATATATAAAATTATATATGTATACTGTAATATATTATCTGAGTTCTATGATTCAAATAAATGAACTTTAATTGTGCATTTTTTTTTTTAATATGTGTATCTGTTGTAATTTGCTGTGGATTGGAGAGGCAAAAGGGAAAGAATGTTTGGGATTTGTTTCTAAACTGAAATGTGATGTGATGACCAGTCATTTGGCTTTTGTAGTTAAATGCTTAGATCTGATTTACTTCTGTTGCATGTTCGAATTGGTGTGTGTGACCAATTTATATGTTTTTTGTGTTTTGTTCTTGTTCGTTTCATGATATTTTTTCTGATTGTTTTTATAAGCTCAATCCATGGGAATCGAACCAAACCAATTGGTTTGGTTCGGATTGAGAGTTATCACGGATCGGTTCGGTTTCAGATTTAGCCAATTCGTGAGGATCGGATTGGTTTGAATTTTACCCAAAATCGAACTAATTCGATTCGTGATCAGCCATAGTGTGAATAAAATTTCTTACTCACAAAGTATTAAATACCTTGGCGGTATGGTACTCAGAGTCATCCTAACCCTTGAATAAGGTGAGACCGACCATCACATCCATGATTCAAAGGTTGTCATTGTGTCATGGTACCCCTTACGTATTTAATATTTTCTCCAGCAAAGATCATCACTCTTATGTATAAACACACTATTATATATATATATGTGTGTGTGTGTGTGTGTGTGTGTGTGTGTATTTTAAGGCCCATTTCATGTCAACTTGAAGTCTTAAAAGTTTGGCCCATCCCAACCATATGACATTGGCCTTCTTAAGAAACTAAACAGCCCAAACCTAATATGATATTAGCCTTTTTAAAAAGCTAAACAACCCAAGCGCCTATACACTAACTATATAATTACTTATAAATTTATTTATTTATTTTATTTTTTATTATTATTTTTTTCAAACTCACATACCACATACACCACACACACACCCACTTTACTCATTTGCACCCACTTTACTCACTTGGAGAATCACTGAATGCCATAAAATCTTGATAATTATTTGTAACTTAAAAAAGCTATTTTATTTTTATTTTTATTTATATTCTTTTGGAATTTTGTTTAACACGAGAATAGAGTAAATTTTGAAGAAAAAAATACTTTCTATAACAAACTAATTTTTTCATAATTAAAACGAAAATTTTGTTTAGCTGATATGGTTTTTCATTCCAATTAGGATGTAAAATTTACCTATTTTATTTATTTATTTTTACTCCACTTTCCAATTTTAATTTTCATTCAACCGAACGAGCCTAAAAGGGTTATTTATTTATGGGTAAAGTGCATTAAACCCGCTTAAACTATTGGTCATTTGCAAGAAATCCCCTGAACTACAAAAAACCCATTGAACTATGTTTTTGTTGCAATTTACCCTCTTGAACTATTGGTCATTTGCAAGAAACCTCCCTGAACTACAAAAAACCCTCCTGAACTATGATTTTGTTGCAATTTACCCCCCTGAACTTTAATTTTGTTGCAATTTACCCCCATGACATCAGCTTCCGGCACCGAAAATTTTGAAAGACCAGTTTACCCTCGTAACATACTGTGTCGTTTTAACTTATACACTTCTTACCTTTTTTTTCTACCAAAAGATGTTTTTCACCCAACAAAACCCAAAACAGAGAACTAGAGAGAGAGGAAGAGACCAAAGAAATTTGAGGTTGGCGGGATGGCTCGGTCTCGGATGATAGCGGCTTGTGCACGGAGGACTCGGCTGTGATGAGAGCTCGGTTGACTCGGCCGTGAACTGTGGAGGCGGCGACGAGCTCAAGGGGGCTCGGCGGTGAACTGTGGACGGTTGTGTGCTCGAAATACGGACGGCGGTGTGCTCGGCTATGGAGATGGTAGAATAGGCCGGCGAGATTAGAATGGACGGTGGAATGGACCAGCGAGCAAGGTGAGCTGAACGGCGGGCAAGGCGGTAACAGCGATGGGCTGACGCAATGGTGCAGAGAAGTGCGATATATATGGCCGACGGATCTGGCAGGTGGTGCAACGGTTATGATGGAGCTATGACAGGAGACCCACCGATCCCAGCAACAAATTCCTCGACTTCATCGTCCCTTTCAGTCAATCAATTCGCACAGATGGGGTAAAGTGCAAAAAAATATATAATTCATGGGGGTTTCTTTCACATACCCCAATAGTTCAGGGGAGCTTTTTGTAACTTTTATAGTTCAAGGAGGTTTCTTATACATACCCTAATAGTTTAGGGATTTTTTTTTTTTTGTAACTTTTATAGTTCAGGAATTTCTTGCATATACCACAATAGTTCGGGGTTTAATGCACTTTACCCTTTATTTATTTATTTTTAGCACACCTCTGCAAGTCATACGCAGGACAATTTGCCATATTCCCAACATTCACGGGGTCTCTCCCACACTTACTCCACTGACGGCGAAGAATCCAAAGATTCCGTCGGCCTGAACGTTGTTCTCCGGCGACGACCTTCAAACAAAGGTTGCTCCTCGCGTACACTGGTAAGCATCTAAAAGCACTGAGTTGTTTGTTACATCCACGATCTTTTTCTCTCACGGTCTCTCATCTCACACACCACTGAGTTTTGTGCTTGTCCCTCGTCGGTACGAAGTTAATAAAATCACATATCTCTGTACCTTTATTCACAAACAAAGTTTGCTGCGATGACTATCCATGGTAATCCCTCCAATTGGCTACAAATTCTCTACACAATCGCAGCCATTCTTGATTGTTTTTCATTTGAAACCCTAGCGCCTGAAATTTTGGTTGATTGAAAGAAAACACTAGCAGTACCCGACTATGGTTGAGCTCGGGTTAAGGGATTTCTATATATATATACATATATCCAGAGACACACTCATATATCTATGTATATTCACATAGAGCCCATTTATTTTGATGGAAATAGATTTTGAAGAACTTTTACCAGGAAAAGAACAATTTCTTTTGAATATCAATGGGTTTCTTACCGTGGTTTAAAAAATTATATAGGAAAACAATTGCAGTTTTGCCTGTGATATTTGGTAGAAGCATGGAGGCGACAAATAACTTGTCGGGTCACAATGAAAGAATAAACAAGTAAGTTTGTTGATAATATTACCTACCAATGAAAAATAATTGCTCGTTGTGGATGATTTCATGTTTGATGTTTATCTCTTAACAAAGTTATCGGGTTGTTGATTTTGGTTTTGAATTGCTTTGGTTCAGAGAAGCTCCTCAATTGGTTTCTTTGTTAAAAGAAATGAGGGAAGGGTTAGATGCAGTGAGGAGTAAAGTGCAAGATTTAACTACAAAGGTAAGAAGCACACTTTGAGACTCACATTTATTCCGGTGGCATTTTCCATTCTTGAATTTGAAGAAAGAGAAACTCTCGGGAATCAAGGGAAGCACAAAGGCTAAAGGGGGTGCTAGGACTTGCAAAACTTGTTGTTTTTGAAATAATAAGAGTTTGTTTTTCTCCTTAATAATTCTTCTTCTGTGACCACCATAGAGACATCCATTAGTGCCATTAAAACTGTCACAACCACAAAAACTTTTAAACAATCAACACCATATTGTTGCCACCACCAGTAGAAGTGGCAATTATTGGCATGACGTGCAAGCCACACTTAAATTTGACACAAATTAGAGGGTCTGGGTTGATCTTAAATACATTTGGGTCATAAATGGATTGACACGATTTACCAATTAAATATACTGGCTGTGAACCCATTTAAAGGCCCTTTTAACATTTGTACTGTGTCAACGCTAATACAACACGATCACTTTAGCTTGTTTAACATGTAATAAACAGCATTTTTAGTGAACATATACATCAATTGACAGACATTTTCATGGTCCAATAAAGGATACACGATAAAGAGAATATGGCAACTGGGTTTCTTTAGTTTATCTGTTTTATTCAAAAACTAAAAAAATTAAATCAAGTAATACAATATTTGTAAATATAAGATAAGTGGATTTAAATTGTTGGTATGAGAATAGGTTCACGGGACAAGTCAAAACTCACATGTTTAAGAAGTAGGTTGTGTTAGGTTCACTGTTTGCATGTATTGATATGGTCAATGAATAGGTCTGTTCAAGTTGACCCATTTAATAGAGTACCCTCACCTTGACACAAAACGATCCAACTACCACCTGTGACTACCAGTGGGTTAATGCCACATCCAATCTTGTCGAGAATCTACATCCAATACTTCTTTTCTCATTGCTGCCATTACAAACAGCTCTGTCTCTGTTTTCAATACAACTTGCTTGACCATCCCCGTTACACCACTTCGGTTGATGCTGCTGCTGGACAAATTCTTATAGTATAGTAGTAAACTGATCTTACTTTTACTTTCTGCTTTAATATTCAGCAGTAGAATGCTAAAGCAAATGGAGTTACTTTTTGTGCCTATTTTTTAGTACTTACAGTATTATTTGTCTCCTTTTTTTTTTTACTTTAACTTTTAATACTATATATGTGTCTAATTTATCTTAGGTAAAAGCAGATCATTTTCGAACAGCAGATGGGATAAGCTATCTTGAGACCAAACATTTACTGCTTCTAAACTATTGTCAATCACTTGTCTATTATTTGCTCCGCAAGGCAAAAGGTTTCTCAATTGAGGGACATCCTGTTGTTCGGAGCCTTGTAGAGATAAGATTGTTTTTGGAAAAGGTTTGGTTATGCTTCCTTTTCACTTTATTCAGATTTTGGCCTGATTTCTGATAGTTTCTCATCGGTCTGTTTTTATCAGATACGCCCAATTGACAAAAAACTACAATACCAAATTGAGAAGCTCACGAGGGTTTCAGGAAATGCAATGGAGAATGTAAGTGTGACTACGAAGGAAGTAGATTCAACTCAGAAGACAGAGGATCCGTTGAAGTATCGCCCAAACCCAGACATGCTTGTTAGCAAAACAAATACAATTACCGAGGTGAGTTTTTTTCCCCCTAAATGGTTGAAATTTTATAAAATAAAACAGTAATAGTACAGATAGCACAGAGGACATACCCTTCGAATGAAACCCAGAAAAACAGCAAACACGGTATAGCATAGAGTAACAGACTACTCCAGCGCAATAAAAATGAAAAACACAATCAGCCACAAGAGAGAGCAGCTTCTCCATAGAAGGACTCAATGCAGCAGCAAGTAAAATTCTATAAACATAAACATAAACATAAATTCCTCCAACCGTATCTTACTAGCCTCTAGCACCTCAAAGAGTACTGCCCTAGCAAGATCAGCAGCCTCTCTCTTCAGGTTTTGTGACACCTTGAGTTTCTCTCATTCCATAAGCCATGGAGGCCAGCTGTGAACAACAATCTACGATTCTACACACCTTGTCTGTGATGGACGCAGTCCCAACAGAAGAAAACCAATCCACCAGAGGCCAGAATGATTGGAATATTGGTATGCCCCATTTGAGCACATTGTCAAACCAACCCCAAAAAGACTGGACGTATGAACATTGAACAAATAAATGGTTTCTAGAGTCATTTCTCTGTAGACAGCGGTGACAAACAGAAGAACATACACACCTCTTCTCCTAAGGTTGCTGAATGTTGGAAGTTTGTCATGAATGATTAGGCACGCAGTAAAAGAGGTTCTAGGTAATTCCATACCAAACTGGCCCATTGAACCTGCGGAGCAGCTACTCTGCATTTATCCCATGCTCTCTTGAAAGAAAACCCACCACTATCCCACAACAGCTCATCTTGGCCCGAAATGTAAATTTGTATAGTGGACAGAAAGTTCCTAAAATTCTGAAGGTCATCAGAATCCAGAAGTTGAAAATTCCAAGAACCATTTGGAATTAAAACATTCATGCTGGCTGCTCTGTCAAAAGGCAGTAGTCTGTAAATTCTGTGCCCAAACTTCTGTTTAATAGATATGCCAGCACACCAAGGGTCATCAAACAAGTTTATAGAAACTTCATTACCAATTCTATATGTGATCAATTTTATAAGTGATGTTCTTAGCTAGAATGTCTCTAGTTGAAAGGATGTCCTTCCAGACAAGAGAGTGAGAGCTAGCAGCAGTACAATTCGAGGAGGACACCCTGTTAGCATACCTTGACTTCATCCGAGCAACCCAGATCCTGTCCTTATTTACAAGATAATCCCAAGCTAAACAACATTTTTTAGCCATGGACAGGTCAGCAACTTTCCTCAGTCGAAATCCACCTTCCTGCTTAGTAGAAGACACGATATTCCATCTGAGAAAGTGTAGTTTTTTAGTAGACTCAGAGCTGTCTCATATGAAGTTCTTAATCTTCCTTTCCACAAGCTGAAACCCAATATTGCAAAATAGACAGAAATTTGTTAAATGTATTAATGTATCAATGTAGTCATTCCAGAAGTTGACTACTGAGGTGAGTTAAATGTATTAATGTTTAAAAATTTATTATTTATTTACTTCTGTTTTCGTCTCATGCCATTTTTTAAAATAAAAATATATCATTACTCAATTTAAAATGAATTTTTACGGTTACGTGTTTATGTCCATGTATATGAATTTTAGGATGGCGTTGGTGTTTATCGACCACCGAAATTTGCCCCTACTTCTATGGGAGAAGAGAAGATCTCAAGACAGGAAAGAAATGCTTTGAGAAAGGAGAAAGAGACCCTACGACAAGCTCGGCAAAGTGCATATGTGAGAGAACTGATGGATGATCTTGAGGGAAGACCTGAAGAGGTAAATTCTGTTCTCTCGTTTCATGGTTACCAATTTTATATGATTCATTTATATAGTATGCTAATTTATAATTGGTTATGGAAAATACAGGTAAGAGAAACTGTTGGAACTGAAAGTAGAGAACTGACTCAATATAAGGCGAAAATGGAAGACCGTTCAAGGCGAGAAGAGGAGCTTTTTACCCGTGCTCCTCTTACAAAAATGGAGAAAAAGAAAATGAAACATTTGAAGAAGTCAAGAAATGGGTATGTGGAATTGAATTTTAATATTGGCTATAGTTGTCTCATTAGGCCTTCATCTATTTGTCTATAATTTCAGTTAATCTGAAAAATCATGATATTTCATATTCGTGGTGCATATTTAATTATCTAGTATTTAATTTGGCCCTACTCTTTGTTATTGGTTGTACCAGGTTGCTTGGTTTGACAGATAGTTTCTATGATGAAATTAAAACTTTACCTTTAGAGGACAATGTTGATGAGGCAACAACAGGCTTCAACGACGGTGGCAGTGGAGAGAGAGAACTCAAGAAGCGCAAGGTAATTTAATTGAAGGGGACTAAGGGACTGTTTACTGATATATGGTCTGCTGTTCATCTGTTTTAAAGTTGTCTTGTTTTGAAATGTTATATTTATGTTGAACTAAAATGCATTAACTTCACTTTTGTTTTTTTAATGTATTATTCTTTTGCATTGTTAACTTTTGAGTCTATGATTACTTATAATTTTATGGAGTCAGATTACATGATCCCTTGGCTTGGTACATTTGAGTATTGAGACGTCTTTGGGGGAGCTTTAGAAGGACTTCTAAGTTCTAATAATAAACCTGGGGTGTTAGTTGAGGCAAGACAAATGGACTTCCAAGAGAAGCCTGATAATGTGAAAGTCTATTTTGCCGAAGCCAATAATACTATGTTTGGTAGGAGGGAAGGAAGGGGGAGTGAGCAAAGAGAGGAGAAATGGAGGAAACTTCCATTGTTTGGTAGTAGGGAGAGGAAGAGGAGAACGATGAGAGGGATGCCTGGAGAAGGATGATAGGGATGAGGCATCCCTCCTGGTCCACCATTCTGCTTCCATCCAAAAGTGGGAGGAAGAGGAGAGAGAAAAATGAAATATCTGTTAGATAAATTTGAAAAGGTGTCCTTACCCTCATTTTGATGTATCAATTTATATGCTTAAGGGTTTCTTTTTTTTTTTTTTTGACAAATAAGAATAAAATAGAAAGCGTTCAAGAGGGGAACACATCCTGATACGTATTTAGGGGTATCTTAGTAAAATAATAATAACATATATTTCCTTCTCTTCCATCCAACCAAACAGAAGGATGCCTCATCCATCCTCTCCATCTCCCTTCCATCCATTTTATCATCCTTCATACCAAAGGAGGCGTAAGAGTCACCTTCGAAAACTGATTCTCACAAAGTCAGATCATTACTTAAGTGATACATTCTAAATGAAAATTTTGTCCCTCATTTGTTAGGTTGCTATCTTGGAAGAAAATCAGAGCAGGTATACTTATCTGCTCATAACTAGTCACAGAGATAGTCTGAGATCCATTCTGATCCATATTTATTCTGTAATATTATGCCAAGGTATGATTTTCTATGGTTACATATGTATTTGCATACACACATGAACAGACACACATAGGGTGGAGGGGGAGGAGGACCATTCATAACCAATGACAACTGTCACAACAGGAGGATTTGATATGATGGTGGCAGCTGCCAGAGGTGGCTTGAAGATGGCTCTCTTGGTGTAGAGAGATATAAGGTTCACTAAGTAGGAGATGATCAAAATCCAAATCATTTCTTCTCGACCGTTTAATTTGTTATATCTACATACATATATATATACACACACAATAGTGTTCAGGTGCTCCACGTCGCAAAGGGAGTGCCATACGCGACTTAAAAAAGAGCCCTTGGATTTAAATCCAAGGGATGAAAAGCGAAACCACTCGTTTCCCTTCAGCTGGTTTATGAAAGAAAGAAAACCACTCAAAAGAGCATTAAATGCGCATTAGTTGTTTCTGCCACAACCTTTCAAAAAAACACTTCTCTGCCATTTTGAAATCCTAACTTGCACAATCTTATGGGTTTTTGTTGATGTGAGTATTTTAGTGATATAGAATTTTTGCTTCCAATGATGCAAAATAACCTTGTTGTCATATTTCCTATAACCAATGTTTAAAGTGGTCTCTACTCTGCTGTTATTCTTCAGGACATGCTGTGACCTACTCGCTTTAGATGATTCAGTTGTTTCAAAATTTTGATTCTGTGTTTTGTTACTCACTTGGGTGGGTTGTCTGAATGTTGATTATTTTCGTCTCCTTGCTGGTTTGGAAGTAAATGATTTCGTGACTCAAATTATTTGGATTCAACTGTCAGAGATATAAAACATCTCTCAAAATGAGGTTGGGGTTTCAAGACCCATTCTAGATTATCGTGATTGCGGAAAATTCTACTTGCACAACCCTTCTCTGACATTCAGAAGCAGAGGACAAGCTCATTTTCTAACGGGAAGCAATCCGTGGATGAATTCGGTGTGACAGTGTCATTAATTGGGCGGATATTGAGAAGACAAGATGAGCACTAGTGCACTACCAGAGGACTAATTCGTTTTTATTTTTAAGATTTTGTAATTAAGAATCTGGATATCTAGAATTAAGATTAGCAATGGAAAAGTTGAAAAACAAATAAAATGTGCATTCACTGACATAGTTCTATGAATTGGAAAATCAATTTGCAAAACAAAAGCAGACTCATTATCAATTTGAAAACAGAAGTAGACCCAGTAGAAGGAAGTGGGAGAAAACAATAGAACACGCACTGTAATTTTGCCCCAATTTTATGATTGATGGATTCTGCAAATTAGGATTCCAAATGACGGGGATTGAACAACATGAGAGGAGAGGTTTTGATTTTGTGAAGAGAATAAGGGATTTCCTCTCTGCTAGTGTGTGTGTGTGTGTTTTTTTTTACCTTCCTATCTAAGAACCTTTGGTTTGGTTGACAGGATATTTCAGTAATTACATCCAGCTTTTTAGTTGGAAGCAACTTATGTGCATGTAATGCTCTTTTGAGTGTTTTTTTTTAATAAACCAGCTGAAGTGAAACAAGCGGTTTCACTTTTCATCCGATTTGATCTTTATACTGGAGATCTTTTTCTCTCTTAGAAGAACTTATAGATTAATAGGAAGGAAGCTTAATCGGAATGAATCAGATATTTTCTTCTATGATCGATCGGTATAAACATCAACAACTCCGAATTGGGTTAGTTTCTCCAATTACCTTTCATTTGTAATTTGTAAAGGAGCCCCACAACACTTGAGGGGAAAAGACCGTTTTCTCAGGACAATAGACATTAGTCTAGGTCCAATCCTTATTAATCTTTCAGTCAATCTCACGAATGAAAGTTCTGAATCCCCTTCCCGATTTTCATAAAGGTGACCACTGGCTGTAAAGCCCCGAGTTGGTTCCCTTTTAAGTCGCGCGTGGCATTCCCTCCGTGACAGAGAGCAACTGAACACTACTCTGTGTGTGTGTGTGTGTGTGTGTGTGTGTGTGTATACGTGCACCTTCTACAATAATTGAGATGTGAGCTTTTGAACCAATTGATCATGGTTGTTTATGGGTGGCGGTGGAAGAGTTGACGGAAAGGAGGGTGCCGTTGATTGGTACTCAATGGTAGAGAAAGGGTTGGAGGTGGAATACCCTGGTAGCATGCCAAAGTTGGTCATAACTCTACGATGAGTTTTCATCGTAGAGAGCCGAGAAAAACATGGGGGTATGGTATATTTTTAATATGGAAACATGAATATGCCATTTCTCATATTAAAGAAACAAAATTATAGTATTGACATGATTTAATACAGGAGCAAAACTTGTGATACACCTTATTGCTGTTATGAAATATGGAAGTCCTTACATCATATTTTTATCATGTGGTCTGTTACACGGACTCTCCTATAATCAACCATCCACATACCCATCGACACGACATTGGTGTGAGGACAATAGATGTATTTGACACGAGTCCAAATCAGACGCCCTGATACTTTACATGAAATGATTGAAGAAGAAAAGCTCAAATTTAATAGTAGAGATGAATTTCCTATCTTTCAGATAGATTGAAACCCTTCCCTTTTACTACAACTGATTTAATTTGAGTAATATTGAGTGCATTCTGATAAAACAACGTTAAACATTATTGGGAAAACTACATTTAGGTAGAGACAGGAGCCCTAAATAACAAAGGGATCTATTTTAAAAGTTTATTTTTCACTTTAGTTGAATTAAGTAAAATAATTACATATGCATAAAAAATTATTGTTCAAGTCGAAAATACCCTCCAAGCTCTTATTTCAAAATACTAAATTATCCTTCTTAAATCAAATAATTCCTTCAATAATAACAATAGTAATAAAAATTGATGGCAATCAAATGAGGATTTGAATAATAGGATCTCAAGCTATAAACCAGAATGAATAATCTATTAAATAACAAATAAAAGATTACATGAAGTAATTAGAACAAAATAACGTTTGCATGATATAGCAGGCCTTGAGAAACTGAGCGATGTTTCTCAAACTAAAACATTGAAAGTCAACCAAACAAGTTAACAGAAAATTAATTAATGTGGCCTTCACGTTAACTGAAAAGTGGTATAACCATTGATCAGGTATCCCATTGTCTTTCCTTGAGGCCAGTCTATTAGGAATTCTCCAGAAATGAAATTGATGATAGCAAGTTTCGCCTATCACATGCACACCTCTAAGAAAAAAAGAAGAAGAAAAGAGCGGGGCGTCACGAATTGCCATATCATCAATAACTATTGATTACTTTCTTATGGTGCTGGCAATGCTAGACACATTCAGTTTCTGTTCCATAAGCACCGTACAATTGCTAGACATATAATATATTTAAATTTTATATACGTAGCATGTATCTACGTGCTTGTTTTCAACTTTTGGCAACATTTTTCTGTATCTTAAGATTGAGGATTTGAGGAGATTCGACACTTACACCTGGACTCGATACACTTATGCGAGTCCAGGAAACACAGGACTCAGTGGAATTATCTCTTAAAGTGGAGCTTTCTTTAGCTAATTGAAAATGGTATTCATGAGTGACACTCTGTGCTCAAATGATAAAATCAATGTTGGTTATTATCGAGTGTAAAGGATAATTTTCAGTCGAAAGTTTTTGTATTAGTTAAATGGACTTCTTAATCTTTTGAGGAAGTTACTTCTGTAAAGGTCATTCAAATGAAAGACTTTTATAGATTTTAAGTATTAGGAAGCTCCCCCAAATGCTACCTTCATCTAGTAGTAGGATTGTGGTTGCTTTTTATTTAGGAATGTAGCTTCATCTGGTAGTCTCTTTAATGCTATTGGTTCATAGACATGAAGGACCTTATAAAAAATTTTGGTGAAGTGGGTAGATGCTAGAAAAAAAGGTCGATGAATACTTGAAGCCTGATACAGTGTTTTCTCACAATGTGAAAAATGTGGGGCAATATATATACTTTTTAGCTGTTTATTCATAAAGCATTGATTCTTTTTACCCATTCAGATTTACATGCTGGAGGCCATACTTGAATTGTGGAGTTGAATACATGGTAAATGATCTAGGCAATTTAGGATCCAAAGCGAGATCCATCACGCTAATGACAACATAGTATGCAGTCACGTCTTGTACAGTTTAAGGGATGGTTGATGGAACTATTTCATGCATGCATATCTTACTGCTTCCTACCTCAGGAGAATAGTTATCTAGGAAGAACTGTATTTAATCATTTCTGGCCTGTTGAATGACCCTCAAACTAATGACTCGCCCAAAAAGTCCGAAAAAGAAGAAAAAGAAGTGGCCTTGCTTGGTTTGCAACTCCTAGAAAAGTTTTCTGTTTTGGGAGTCACAAAAAATCAGAAAACTGATTTTAATCTTGCTCGGAACTGTTTTTTAAAATCAGTTTTTGGAAAACTGAGATACAAGAGTCCAACTTTTTAGAGAACTACAAAATGTTGTTCTTGGAGTTTTGGGTTTCAGTTATCAAAATGAGAAAACACGGAGCACTGTTGTCCACTTAAAAAAAGAGGGAAGGTCGTATCTCATTTATAACACGGGCCACTGGTGGGCGCATCTCTTTCTCTCTCTAAAGCTCACGTCTCTCTCCCTAAAGCTCTAGTGCACGTCTCTCTCTGTATTGCAAATCTATATGTCTCTTTGTGTATCACAAATCTCTGATGATCGTTCCCCTTTCTCTGTACTGCTAAGCTATTGTGAACGTTCTTGTTTTAGATCGCTTTGGATCAATTTGTTATTATATCATTTCGTTAGAGGATTGTGTTATATTTTTGGGTATGCAGTGCAGAAAAGTTTCAATGGGTTAGTGTTCAAGTGTGTGAGAATTTGAAAGAAAATACTCAAAACTAGGTTATTCATTTGGGCAAGAACATCCAGGTTGTCAGATTTTGGGACAGACAGTGACCATGAATTGATTAAAGGAATAAGCCCATTTTTTTGAAAGGAACAGAAGTGAATCATAAGTTCTTATATGTGATTGAGGTAGGATGAGAATAAATTATGATGGACATTATGAAAATTTCAGGCTTGCTAGGTTGTTAATTATAAAACCGTGGCCCTAAAAAAATTAGCACAGGTGGTTTTTTTTTTATAAGGATTCCTTTTTCTAATGCATGTTCAAATAGATGTTTTCTTCGATTTAGTCTTGATCTTCTGTAAATCTTTTTCTTAACTTGAATCAATGAAATATGCTGGTTTAATATATATATATATATATATTCATAAGCAAGTGTGAAACATGCTGGTTTAATATTTGATCCCGAAGATGGAACAAATTGTGCATGATTTGTCATAAGAGATAGTTTGTAAGGCTATTATCAATATTTACAATCCTGTGAGTTTTCAAAATTTTGTTATTTGAAAACTATTTTGTAGTTTTACTTGCCAAGCCAATTTTGATACTCAAAAAATTGAAAACTGTTCTCTGTTATTGTTCTTTGAAAACTATTCTCGAAAACAATTTTATGAGACGCAAACCAAGCAAGACCTGGTTTTCAAAGGTGTCTTCATAATTGGATTTTTTAAAACTTTATTTCAGTGTACAAATTTTGACGAAATGATTTTTGTATTATTTTCTGTTTTTCAGTTATCTGATAACAGAAAGGTATTATGCACAGCTTCATGAGTTGATATTTGTAATTTTGATGGGTAAGACCGAGTTTGTGCTGGTTAAGTACCATCTAAATAGTGGCCGCAAGGCATTGTCTCTAGACCATCATCCTCATTGACTATTCTTTAAAGTGAATATAATACTCTGGAATGACACTGAAAGATGTTGGAATTACTTTTTTCTTACGTGATAATACAGAAGGAATGTATGACACAACTTTGTTTTGGACACGATTATTCAAATCAGAGAAGGTTAAATGCAAATAAATTATGGACAGGGAAAGCCTTAAGTATGTATCTATTATGTTAGTGCTTCCCATACTCCTGAACAAATAACGTGTATAATTATTTTCAAGATGTCTTTCGGTAGGTAAATCAAACATTCACACTCCCATTTGCCCCATTGGGGACTTGAACACTTGGGTTTAGCTCTTGGTGGTAATCTAGTACTTGATTATTTATTTCCTGTTTACATGTCTATATGTTTGTTTTTTTCGTATATGAATATATATTCTGTTCCATATTATATGGTTTTATCTATTGTGCAAAGAGAATTAGATATCCTTGATGGGAATAAACTGACATTTATGCCAATTTTCAGAGGAAGCATTGAGGGAGAAGAAGCTCAATCTTTGGATGCATAGAGCAATGGCAAGCATGCGTTTTTTGTCGTTGGATAAATGTTGTAATTTCAGGCTTATATAGACATGCAAAATATGAATTTTTATTTTTTACCCAGTTAGCTCTTATTTATTAGGCAGTTTTTGTTGCAACAGGTTGACGATGGAATTAAGATTCGAGTCTTTTCCCTTTATAATTTTATATATGTGGATTCAAAACAATTTTTTAACCGTGCGATGTATTTCAGATCTGGGATTGTTACTTAGATGATGAATATATATTTTTTGACTGACTAAAAAATAATTGTATGTTTCATTTTGCTAATTATTAGTAGTGGTGGAAAAGTCTGAATAATATGTTTCCATTGTGCTCATATATGGAAGAATCCTTGATCTTGCTTTTTTAACCTATTGAAGGATATTTATGTGAAGAAGAATGGGATCTTCTGTAGGAGGGTTGTTTCATTGGGTAGTTCAATTAATGAGAGAGGAGATTTTGAAAAATGAGGAGATTTTTAGAGAGAGAAGGTTGACCAGGGAAATGGAGAGACAGCTCTCAATCCCTCCCAAACTATCAAGTCCTCTGTTCTCAACTTTTCTCATGGTTGGATATATTATTGCTGCCTTAACATGCATTGGTATATGTTCATGGTTTACAGAACGCTTTGAATCAATATTGAATATATCGAAGACATCGAAAAATCTCTAATTTTCCTTCGAATCTCCAGGAAAAAATAAAATTGGCGATTCTCTCTCTCTCAAACTAAAAAAATTCCAAGAACTTGAGGCTGGCATCAAACCATAAATTCAAATTTCTAATTTTCCATCCAAAACACATAGCAGTAGCTCCAAAGATGGAGATTGGAGGGACACCCACTCTCGATATTTGAAAAGTATGGGAGTTCGGTTTTGTTATCCTAAATTTTCTTTTTGAAGAAATGGAAGAAAAGACTAGCATTTTTTATTAATTAATTAATTAATTTTTTTAACATCCACACACTTTAACTTAAAACCTCAATTTTTTAGTTTCCTATTAATGAAACTTTTTTTATACCAAATTTACCCTTACAAATCTATGGAAAAAGGTATACACTCATTAAAGTAATTTCATTTCCAATTTTTTTTTTCCATGGTTAATATTTTTCCTTCAACCAAATACACTGGTTTTTTGTTTTTCATTATGCCAAACATAAGAGAAAGAAGGAAAAAAAAAGATTAAATATTAGGAGTTGGTTTTATTATTATTGTTTTTTTACTCATAAGGAGGGGAAGGGGAGATGGTGAGTCGAAGGGCGAGTTGAACTGACTTTCTCCATTGACTTACCATTTGGTGGACTTTTAAAAAAATTAAAAAATAAAAGAAGGATCTAATATGTTAATTTATTGATAATATATTAAAATTAAAATACTGCATGGTTTGATATAGACATCACACGTTGTTGGTAAAAATAATTAAATAAAGAATCAATCTCTTCCTAGAAAACAATCCAGTCAAATTGGGATTTACAACAAATGGCAGATTTTTCTAAAAGTGAAATCGAAAATAAAAAATTATATTTGGAAAATAGAATATTCGAGAAGAAATAGAAGATCACGTGGCAAAGAATTGCTACGCGACACGGTCTTACCGTAGCCCAGGCGAGACCGAGCCCCACCCCGCACCACCTATAAGTACCCTTACCCCTTTCTCAAGTCTAAACCAGGCTTCTCAAGTTTTCATTTCCTCTCACATATTCTCTGTTTCTTCATCTCTCTCCCTCTCTCTCTCTCTTCATCTCGCTTTCTCTCTCTTCGCGTACCATGGCTCGCCGAAGCCGAAGCTTTGGAGGTCCGTCCTCTCTCTCTCTCTCTCTCTATATATATATATACGTAGTTTCTAGTTTGTATGTGAAATGTTTATGTGAATGTATCGATTGAAATGTTTATGCCTTTTATGTTGTATGAGATTATGATTTTTAGAACATTTTTAGTACTCCTAGGGTTTTTGTTGTACGGACTGATGTTTCCGGTGTATTGTGAATATTGATGTTGTACGGAATGATATTTCCGGTGTATTGTGAATGTTGATTGTCCATGTCATCTTCTCTGTTTCTTCATCTCGTTCTCTCTCTCTTTCTTCATCTCGCTTTCTCTCTCTTCGCGTACCATGGCTCACCGAAGCCGAAGCTTTTGAGGTCCGTCCTCTCTCTCTCTCTCTATGTATATATATCTGTAGTTTCTAGTTTGTATGTGAAATGTTTATGCGAATGTATCGATTGAAATGTTTATGCCCCTTTTATGTTGTATGAGATTATGATTTTTAGAACATTTTTGGTACTCGTAGGGTTTTTGTCGTACGGACTGATGTTTCCGGTGTATTGTGAATACTGATTGTCTATGTAATATGTATACGTGTAATTTGTGTGTGTAATGTTTATGTATCGATTTAAATGTTCTTGCCTTTTATGTTGCATGAGATTATGATTTTTAGAAATTTTTGGTACTCCTAGGGTTTTTGTTGTACGGACTGATGTTTCCGGTGTACTGTGAGTATTGATTATGCATATAGTGCGGGACAGTCTGATTATGTTGTTGTTTGTACATTTTAGTATTACCTTTTATGATCTTTTAGTTGATTTTGTGTTTGAATGATTTTGTATGTTCAGATCTGCGAGTATCAATTTCAAACCTAATGTCTTATTGTTTGGTTGCAGATAAAGAGTGAATTGAAAAGAAATTGTGATTTTGAGATTTTCATTCCTATTTAGAAAGCAAAAATAATGGTTCATTTGGATAGTGAATTTGAGTTTAAATAAGAGATTAGCTACTAATAATGAACATCATTTTTTATGTGTGTGAACTTGTGTGTCTAATTGTCTATGGCTTACAAGAAGAGGAGACGCTACATGTTTTTAATGCCCTTTTATTTTTGTTCCTTTCTATTCTTTTTAATTTTAATTAAATGGTTTAAAGCTGTCAATCTGACAAAAATTGGAACAGAGTTTTTCTCAGATATAGTAGGTATTAGCAGTAAATTGAATTGTACAGGTTACAGCAACAATTAGCCGCGTACTTTAATATTCATATAATCTATGAGCACAATATTCTTTCATACGAGAGTCATATCTCCATTGTACATCGAGATGTCAATTTGCTTTCCGCCCTGAATGAGATGGGGAATTTGTAACCCCCTATTTATACGTTTGGGCAATTATGGATATTAATACTTCTCGGATTTTTATAAGATGTTTGCTTCTCCCTAAATTTTTTCATAATTTGAATACCATATACTGTTTTGACCACGTATCCAATTCTCATGTATCATTATGCGTAAAATTATAGCCCTACTTCAAATACGTGGACTATTTCAGAGAAAAACAATTGAGATATAATGAGAACACATCATGTGTTTTTTAACCCAAGTCCATTTTCATACAACATTACTCAGCTTTCCCATATGATTATGTTAGGACAAGGGAATTTTTGTCATATATATGTATATAGAGAATGACAAATAATAATTATTTTAATTTTGTATAAAGGCACAAATTTTTATTTTTTATACATACATACATTCAACATATGCATGCATATATATTATCATGTCATTAGCATGTATGTCTTCTGTTTTTTTTTGCTTTTGTTGTAGAGTAATGTTCACATCGTGTCGTATGAATGAATTTGAAAGTAAGGAATTTGGCCTTAAATAAGAGATTAGCCACTAAATTAGATTCAGAAGTCTAAGTTGATGTTAAATAATGTCTTGTTCCTTTATTTGAAATTCACACATGTAATCCTCTCAAATCAATTCATGATTGTTGTTAATTACTAATTTAAATCTAAACTACATGTTTCAGTAATTTTATCTGAATCCATTCATCTGAAATCCTTCAATCCAAATGGAGCCTAAGTTTTATCTTGTTCTAAGATTCACTATTTGGCTTGATCAGTCGGTTGACACACAGCCATTTTATATATGTGTAAATTTGTGTGTCTATGGTTTATTGGCTTACAAAAAAAGGAGATGTTACAAGATTTTGTTGCCCTTATTTTCATTATTTTTCTCCTTTTAATTTTAATTAATTATTATTATTTTTCTCCTTTTAATTTTAATTACAATGGTTGTAAGTTATTAATCTGATACAAGTCTATGATACAGTAGGTATTAGAAGTAAATTGAATTGTAGGGGTTATAACAACAATTGTCTGCATAGTTTAATATTTGTATCATCTATGAGCGGCTGAGCGCATATACTTTCATATGAGAGTCATATCTCCATTGTATCCATATCCCTATGGATACCAATACTTCTCTGATATTTATAATATGTTAATGTATTCATAATTTGGAATTCTCAGGTATTTTTACACACATTTGATATGCTTTGAACATTAAGTTGTACCATTTCAAGTATAAAATCTAAAAATCATAGTTCAAATACTTGTAGTCTTTTAGAAAAGAACAATTAATATACAATGAGAACATATCATGTGTTATTTAATCTAAAGTCCATGTTCATAACATTACTCTCAGCTTTCCCATATGATTCTTATTGTACAAGGGATTTTTTGTAATAACATGTATATAGAGAATGACATGATTATTATTTTAATTTTATAGGGGCACAAATATTTTATTTTTCATACGTGCACATACGACGTATGCATGCATTTATTTTATCATGTCATTAGCATATCTGTATTCTGTTTTTTATGCTTTTGTAGTAGAGTAATGTTCAGATCGCGTCGTGTTAATATCGTATTTCCGTATCATTACTTCATAGCATATGATGTTGGTTTTATTTTAGCTCGATAGTAGTTCGCATGGAAATCTTATCATTTTTGTATTTTCTGTATTCTATTTTTATTTTTGTTGTTTTTTATCCTTGATCTGTAAGATCAGTCTGTTTTTATGCTGAGCTAGGAGTGTAAAACTTGAATAGGAATGCTGAATGGGAATGGACATAAATTTACAGTAACAATGATATGTAAGGGGCAGAGATAAAGGGATGATAGAGGAAGCAACTTTTGCTGAATTCAGCGTTAAAAATACTTAGTCAAATAGTCTGTGACAGAACTGAACATGGAAAAAAATCTAAACTATGCTAATTTGGCTTAACTTTTTTCAAGCTAATTTCGTATTGGGCGTGTATGCATAGTGCATAATTATTGCAATCTAATTGTCTTAATATGCTTTTCCCACCCAAGGCATGATTATTCCTTCCATTTATTTTTGTAAGTTGAATTTAGTAGTTGGTTGTTTGGCATCTTTTCCCAATTGTATTATTTGAAGGATGTAGTGAAGTGGGGGTTGACACCTGTCAACAGGAAAAGTAGCTGGGAAAAGTTCATTATATTGTGGTTTACTGGGGAGCAGGTTGGTGACTGAAGGGCAAATGATTATATTCTGCGATATTTGTTTGAATGACCAAATCTACTTTAGGTTCAAGGTTGTTGTAGCCTTGATGATATATAGTGATTTAGCGGACATTCACTGTGTCTGCAAATTGAGTATTGCAAGGGAACACATAAAAACTTTCTAACAGAATTCATATGTGACCTTGCTTGTGTGTAACACATTAAATATATATATATTTTTTTGGAATAACAACTAAATTGTTAACATGTGGATACAAAAATGATGGTCTTATCTTTTGCAGGAAAGTCAGCTCCTCGTCCTCGTGCCGCTGCCAGTTCTCCATTGCGTAACCCTCCAAAGCCAGGTAGTCTGCTATTCTTTTATACAAATTTAAAATGGAAACATATACTCTATGGAGGGCATGTACTACAACGCATTAGTTTTTTGTTGCTACGTGTGTCATATTTTACCTTTGCTAGATTAGGCATATCCTGGTTTGGTCATATCGACAGCTGGTTGGACCTTTGGATGTTATTTATGAATTGTTGCCATGTTATCACCACTTTTCTTACTTTTTTGGCTAAGATTTAATATGTTGTGAAATAATTGGTTGTTGCAGTGACTCCTGCTCCTCCCCCAGCACCTGCACCTGCACCACAGGGATCCGCTCTGGGAGGACTTGGTTCTGTTGTTGCTGAAGGTTAGTTGTCCCTTTGCATTTATATTGTAGTGGCACTACATATCCAATGTATGTCAATAATTTGTTTTCGGGTTATGTAACTCCGTAATACTGTCCGATATTTATGTTCATTTGTTGATGCACAGGCATGGCCTTCGGTGGCGGAAGTGCAGTAGCTCACAGGGCTGTGGATGCTGTGATGGGTCCTCGTGTCATCAATACCGAGGTGATCTCGGCAGCTCCTCCTTCTGTTCAGGCACAGGCCGCAGCTCCTCCTTCTGGTGCATGCGATGGTCAATCAAGGGCCTTTCAAGATGTATGTTTCTTAAATTCACTGCATTTCTACTGGTTGCTCGTAGTCTTTATTACGTCCTTGAGCTGCTCGTAAACTGGTCTTGAACCTGGATGTTGTCCAATTTTGAAAAAACTTGCACGGAACATGACTCTGGGCTGGTGTAATGGCTTGCATTTTGGGAGTGACCTGTGTAGGGTGGGAAGGAATGTTGCCTGGGTAACTTTTCTTCCGACTTAGGCATCAGTATTTAGACAATTTGGGAGCTCCATTGTTGTCTTGTTTTTTTAGCTGATTGTTATTTTCCGTTTGCAGCAGTATTTCTAGTAGCTACTAAACAATCACAAGGATAATTTTTGTATTAGGAAGGAAAAGGAAAGATGAAAAGGTCTTTGTTCTTACTAGGGTTGATTGATACAGTTAATTGGTTTATATTATTATTATGAGAACTGTTACTCGTTAGTAACAAGATGGTTTCAATTAAATCAGTATTAAAATCGACTTCGGTGTCTCTTTCTGAACCTAAATTTATTTTGCGTTACCCATTGCAGTGTTTGAACCAGTCTGGGAGTGATATCGGCAAGTGCCAGTTCTACATGGATATGCTGTCGGAGTGCCGCAAAAACTCTAGCAGTGGTCTGAATGTTTGATGCTGTTCATGATTGAGTCCGAAACTTAACCCCCCAAAACTCTAGTCTTGGTCTGAATGCTTGATGTTTGTTGTTCATGATTCAGTCTGAAACTTATCCTAGTAGCTGCAATGTATAAACTAGGTTAGAGAAATATTTTGCAGACTAAAGTGGCTTTTGGTGACTTGGTTTCACATATTATATCTCACCTTCTACAGAATTTCTCGTATCATGAATTCTCTCTTTCAATATTTGAGGGTGAACTTGGGTTAGATTGTTCGGGTCAGTTGTTGCCCTAGCCTTTGTCCCCTCGAGGTTTAAATTGATTAGTCATATTGGATGCTGGAGTTTTAAAATTGAAAACAAAGAAACGGTGGAATTTATAAGGAATCTCTATGCATTCTGCCTGTTGTTTTTGGCTTGATTTTATTGGTGGAAACTTCTCTTGGATGACGCGTATATATATATAGATTGATATATATATATATATAATGTTTAATTGTTTCCTGATGAGCAGGGAGTAGTATATTCACTATTAATCCTAATCGTAAACTAATCCAATGGACATTGTTTAATTAGCTTTCTCATAATTATTTTTGGAAAGAAACTTATGTTTCCTATTAAAATTCAATTAAAATGAAATGACAAAATTAGACATTTAACAAAAATTTAACAGTTGTGTTACTCTTTTCATTGATTGATTGAATTAGAATTAGGGAAGTAAAAACAAAAAAAAATTCCTCTTTTTCTCACAAAGTTAGACTAGAGATTTTCTTATTTTTTTCTGAATAAACCAAATCCTTTACACTTTACCCAGATTAGTTTAGGAAAGTATTATTTAAAAATCAGTATACTCTAAACCAATTTTGTTACTGGTAAAACTCTAAGCAAATTAATTAGTTTGAAAGTGTAGTTTTTTTATTGTAGTTTCACCAATCAATAGCCTATTACATCTTCCAATTGCAGGTCTTAGCTGCTTCTGATTGCCCATCTCTCCATCTCATCTTCGCAACAATCATGAACTATCAGGAATCAATAGTCTATTGGGGAGTAACGAAATTGTTAATTTTTATTTTTAGGAAAGTATATTGTTAAATTTTTGTTAAATGTCTACTTTTGTCATTTCATTTTAATAGTGTTGAATGGTAATAAAAAATTAAGTAAATTTCCAAAAATAATTATAAGAAAGCTAATTAAATAATGTGATTGAATTAGATTTTACTATTAGGATTAAAAGTGAGTATACTACTCCCTACTCACCAGGAGCAATTGAACACTATTGTATATGTATATATATACATATATATATAGAGAGAGAGAGAGATAGAGAGTTTTTAAATAATCTAAGTAGGGAATCTATGGTAGAAGAAATAGTTATTAGGATATACAACTTTTGGTGGTCTTGAAATATAGTGGTGAACAAATTAAAATTCGTTACTTCATAATAAATTAAGCAATGCTTGCCTGGAGGGAAGAATATGAAAATTTAAAAGAAACTCCTTTTGTGATATTCATTAGCTAGCCATGATTGGTTGCAAACTTATTTGTTTCATAATCAGGTTACATGATGACTAATACTAATCAGATTAGATAATGATATCATCGGATGGGTCTCCATCTACATCATTAAGACGAACAAATCTAATAATGAGTGTTTTAATGAGTAAAGAAGCATCTGAAGCTATGCAAATAATTGATGTCTAGTGTCCCCCGAACACACACAGTCTGAACGGAAAATATGGTTCTTCCGGAATATAGATCGCCGGTAACCAAAAGTAGCCGTTCTCGGTCCATTAACCCACAGGAAATAGCAGTATGTATCAAATCAAAGCATTTTGTAGTAATGTCACCAAACAAGATCATCGATCAGTCTAACTGAATCCTGATTTAATCTTTACTCATTAAAACATTTTTCGTGACGTCAAAGGAAACCGAATAGTTTAACTAAAAATTCTTATTTTCATTCAAAGATTCAATCTTTATACATCAAAAAGGGCACATAATAACATAATTGTTCATATAAGCATACAAATTCACACATATTTAGCTAACTAGGGCATGGACGATCTAGCACGCTTTGGAGCAGTTTTTGGTGCCATTTTAGAGTGAGAAGTTGGTTGAGGTTGAACAGTTGACTATAGTATATCTTTGGTTCAAGTTACATGCTTTCCAAGTGAGTAATCAGATTACATAATGAGTATAGTCTGTCTAGTGGTTCCCTTAACACTTTCAAAGTGGGAGGTGCTCATATGAATAATCCAGTTAATGGTGATTATGCTACCCTTGTCAGGACCGGACCTTTTTCAGTAGTAGGCTTGCAAGGAAAATTATGAAGCGTGCGTGCTGAAATTTTATGTTAATTAAATATCATATATTATTCCCATTATTTATTGGAATGATATATTTGACAAATTCTATCATAAATACAACTATTCTCCTCGTCAATAAATCTATTTGTTTATGGTGATAATCACTGCCGACATAGGGGAGGCCATTTTTAGATTCGTAGATGGAGTTCGGTAGATTCAATTGAATTCCTAAAACAGCAGTACTGCTACTCTACCTATAGGACCAAGCATTGTGATAATCACATTTCAATATTTTGGATGATATTTATGTTTTATAACCAACATTCAAGAGATTGTTACTGGTTCACCGATCTCTTTAGCCCTTGCTTGGCTTGCACACTCCCACATACTTACTATTCAAAAAATGTTTTACACCAGGCTACCTACTCACTCTCTAATCAACTCTCTAAGGCGCTCCCTAGAGGAGATGTTTTACAAATGAGACCTTACGTAATTTATAGGCAACCGTCTCTAATCAATGGTTAGGATGCATCTGAATCAACTATTGAATCACTCCTCTAGAATTCTCTACAAAAATCTATACAAGACTATACACTACTAAAACATTCTCTACACCACTACACTATTCTAGAGTACTCTACACTATTTTGGAAGCCTCTAAATACAAAATCCCTACACTTGCAAACACCGTGCGTGTCGCTTACGTAGCGTAACCTCCTTTGACGGGGCGTGACATTTAGCTCAGATATTCTCGAATATAATTCTCCTAGAATAATGGCAGGCAAGGCTTTGATAACATACCGAAAAATCTGAATTAATGATAGATGGCTTAATTCCTTTCCACTAGCCACTTTTCTTCCTCAAGGTGTCAATATCCTTCCCCAACCTCTTAAAACTGCCAAGCTTTTTAAATTTCTATGATTTTTAGGCCAATGATGAAAATTTTCTACCTATTTTTTGACAAGCATAGACGACACCTATTGTGGTTGTCCTTTCAGACCCTGCCATATATTAAAACTTCTCGAGGTGTAGCTCAAAATGTTAAATAATGAGAATTATAAGGTATCTCCAAAAGACTCACAGAATCTAGAAGCAAAATGGAGATCTTCAAAAGTAACTTGATGGAAATGGCTATAACCAACAACTCAAAGAAGAGGAAAAACTTGTTGTCAAGAGAGAAAAGTTCTGAATTAGGAGACCAAAACACAAGTTCTTTCTTTAAAACTGCTAATCAAAGAAGACTTGACATTAATTGAGTAAAATCAACTGAAATGGGAATAGTTCTATAGAACATCTTTATATATATATATATATATGTATAATCACGCATCGTAAACAAAAAAATACATATCTAATTCATTACTAAACGATTATTATCACAAAGACAGTAAAGACTAGGGCGGATCCAGGAATTGTTAATGGGGTGAACTAAATTTTTTTTTGAATGGGCTAATACTAATAATAATAGTTTTTTTTTTTTTTTTGGGTGGGCTCAATCCTAACACTTGGATACGCTGTCCTAAGGCGTGCAAAACCTGAAGCTATCTTGCTAGTAAATGCTGCATCCAAAATGAAACTAATATGGAGATAGTGTTGGTTTTCTGTGCCATTTTTCAAACCCTCGTAAGTAGGGCTGGGACTTGGTTGGGCGAAACCCAGAGCAACCCGAGTCCCGCCTAAAAATTTTACAAGCATGGGTAAGGTACTTGGGATCATGGGACGGGACTGGGTTTAAATTTTAGAGCTCAAATTTATTTTGGGTAGGATTTGGACAAATGTTTTACTAACCCGAGCAACCCAAAGAACCCGGAATACAAGAAAACTATATAATTTTTATATTTTTAATGTTATACATTGCTTATGTAAAATAAAGTTAAAATTAGATTATTATTATTATTTTTTTATAGTAGGTACTCACTTAACTAAAACATACTTGCTTTAAAAATTTCAAGTAAAAAATTTATGGTAATTGAATTTTAGTTAAAAAACGCAAAATAATAAGGATTATAGATTTGAGTTCTTTCCATATTCTAAAAAGAAGGGATTTTATTATGTCCACTAGTTTCCAAATTATAAATTGATTTTTGTCACATGATATTAGTGTTTTTATTTTTAAGTGTACGTAGTTATATACTCTAACTCAAAAATAATAATAGTAATAATAATGTTTATTTATTAGTATGATATTATAATTTAGGATTACCCGAGTAATTCGAAAAACCCAAGAAATTCATGCGTATGGTGTGGGTTGAGATGTGATGGGTTTATCGGGATTTGGGCTTGGCGTGGGCTGAGGTGTTAGAACCTTGGGCTTGGCGTGGGCTAACCCCCTTGGCCCGCCCAAGTCCCACCCCTACTCTTAAGTTCTGGATGGCCTCTTTCAAGTCAAGCCATTCTTTCTATTTCATTTGGCCTCTTTCAATTCCATTATGGGGTCCTTTAGATTAGGTTACTTCATTGCTCTGGTCCCTCTTGTGATTTTTCAATCCCTCCTAATGATGATTTTATGCTACAATTAAGTTTAGGAAAAGCTCAATCCATGACATCATTTGTGATTTTCTGAAAAACCAATGTAATATTTCAGTATTTACTTACTATGTGAAACAAGAACAGCTGTAAACTGAGAGGCACTTCAAACTCTATTCCCTGTTGTTCATTCTTTATAGCCTTTATAGAAGTCATCAAACTACTAGTAAAAACTACTCAGGTAGCTAATTATTGAGTAATCAAGTTATTAAAATACTAGATTACATGAATAGCAAGTAAAATACCCAGAGAAACCTTGGAATGACATATTTCCTGAAAAATCCCCAAACCATAAGAGAAACACTACATACACAACATATGGATCCTAAAAAAAATCATATCAAAAAGAAAAAAAGTTAGAAAAGAAAAAGGAAAAAAAAAAAAGGAACTTTGTTGAATGAAGTCAAAAAAGCAATGAACTCAATGAATTGCTTCCTGCAGAAGTTGGTTCCCACCAGCTTCAACTCAAAACTCTTCCAAGACTCTGAAGTCTGAACCTCTTTTACCCATACAATTCAAGCACCCCAAAAATCAGCTTCTGAGCACAAAAAGCCGGACGCAGCAGCGTTTGAAAAGCCATTCCAAACAGGGCCTCAGAATGAAAGCCTAGCACCATGATGACAGAGGAACATCACCCAAGCCACTTGATATGGTGACAATATATTCCCATCACTGTCAGACTGATGGAAAGGAACAGTTTGTAGCATTGTTTCTTCATTGTTTGATTGCGTACTCATCTCGTGTTGCTCATACACAAGGTGGATTCCACACTTCCTTACCTCAAATCCTATTGCCATGGAGACTGAAACATTCACTTTATCCCCAACTTCCAATGGCTTATCCACAACATATCTTCATTAGCTCCTGGAAGACCCCAGAGTGCAGGGCTATAGGTCCATTCTAGACCTTTAGTCTCATTCCTGATTTTAGCATAATGATCATAACCGAATATATTTTGCTGATCACTTCGTAATTTATATACAACACATATATTCAAGCCTTGAATCTTGCGATCAGGAAGTGGAAGCACTTCCAAAGATATCCTAGAACCATTATCATAGACAAACCAGTTTGGAATATTGCTCCCGGGAATAAATGTGGTCAATATGTCACACTCACACAATACCTGGAGGGGACTCTTTCTGTGGGTGTGAGTCAGACCATTGGCCATTTCCACATTTATGTTCCCCGTGGATGCCAAGTCGAACAATCCCACTTTGCTGATCATTTCCATGTCAGTGCTTCTTATGGGTTCTAACTTGAATGAACCCTGTATCTCAACTAGTTTGCTGCAACCCAAAACACCCAAGTGCATTGATCTTGAAAAATTTGGTAAATAACCAATTCTTTCCAAGGACGTGCAATCTTTTGCAAACATCTGTATGCTTGTTGGAAGCTCTGGAAGTGATTGAATCCTTTTGCAACCTTCTAAAATAAGGCTGTCCAGATTAGTAAGACCAATAATGCTTGTTGGTAGGCTAGAAATTGGATTTCCACTCAAAGACAAATACTGCAATGAGGATAGGTTACTAAGATCTCTTGGAATGGCGTCGTCTGATAGATTGCAGTTCGCAAGATTTAAGCTTACCAAGGAGCATGGTAAAGAAGCCAACGAAAAGAAACTGGTGGATACTGGTTGTTTTTTGGCTAATAGCCAAGACAAGAAGAGTGAATGCAAAGATTTAGCTGTTGGGAAGCTGAAATTACTTAAATTATTAGGGATGGAAGGTAAATGATTTAAAGTTGTGCCATCTGCATGGAGCACCGTAAGTGATTCCATTTCTTTCAGATTATTTGGCATCCCCTCAAGGTTTGAGCAATCAGAGAGAATTAATTTTTTCAGAGACTTCAGCATAGTAATTTCACTTGGAAGCTTCTGAAGACTTTTGCAGCCTTTCAGATTGAAAAGAAGAAGCATCTTCAGGTCTCCAATGGATTCATGAAACTCGACCAAACTAAGGCAAGATTTAAGAATTAACCTCTTAAGGCTAGGGAGTCTGGAGAAGTTGGGAGTTCTTGTAAGCCCACAAGAATGACTCAGATTTAGGCTTTTCAATGATCCAAGAAACTGTGATAAAAAGGAAATAAATTAATTTTTATAAATTATGATGAAAGGGGAGAAGGAGGGGAGGGGGTCAAAAGAATGAATTTATTGTACCTTGATTCCCTTCCAGACTTGTTCCAAGCTACTGTTGCGCATATCAAGAGCAACTAGATTCTCCAGATGGAAATTAATAGGAATGCATTTTAGAGGAAATCCATGCCAACACAGTCATCGTAACTTCTTAGGAAACTCTTCATAGGTTCCTTTAAGCTGTACTTAGTTGAGATGGAGAAGCCTCATTCTGTGCATCCTTGAAAATGCATCAGTTTTCAATTCTATTTTATATGATTTGGAAAATGATTCTGTTAAGACATTATTTAGGATAGAGGCCCTCAATTGTTTCTCTACCCTGATAATAAAAAGACAAGATAAGTTGGTATGCTGCCAAAAATAAAATATACAAGTGTACATAAAGATCATGATTCTTACAGTTTTTTCTCTCAATACATCAAAGACATCCTTATGATGCAAAAGTCTGCTGCTTTTACCAAGTTCCTTTGGGGATTCTTGGCGAATGATTTCCCTTCCCATGTCTCGAATTAACTGATGCATCACCAGCTTGTTGAATTTATTAATTTTTAGTAGACATCTATCTATGAGATTTTGAATTCCAACTGTTGTGTAGAAACCACATTGATCAAGTATTTCAACAGTGTGATCTTTGTCCTTTCCTACAAAGAAACAAGCAATATCAAGGAATAAATTTTTGTCATGATCATCTTGTAGAGAATCGTAGCTTATTTTAAGTACTTCTAGGATTTGACCATCAGGAATTGCTTCTAATTTCTCTAACGCAATTTCCCATACATCTATTCCTTTGCCAGATAAAGAAGAACCTAGAACTTGAAGTGCTAATGGAAGCCCTCCACTTTGAAGCACAACACTTCTTGAATGCTCCATGAAACCTTTTGTTGGGTGGTCTTTTCCAAAGGCATGCCAGCAAAAGAGCTCAAGAGATTCTTTATCACTCAATTCCTCAACTCTATACATCTCACAATCTTGATGAGCCTCTAGCAAATTCTCGTGTCGAGTTGTTATGATGATTTTACTTCCCGGATAGAGCCAAGTTCTTATTGCAAGTATTGCATTTGAATGCTCAGATTTGTCAACATCATCAAGGACAAGAAGAACTCTTTTACGGTGCGTAGCTCGTTTAATCTTGTTTGTCCCTTCATCAACACTATATATTTTTCCCATTTTCCTCTTTGAAATATCTGAGAGAAGCTGTTTTTGTAAATGAAGCAAACCATTTGATTGCTCCAAAGTTATTCTTATATTTTCCAGAAAGCCTCTACCTTCAAATCTCTCAAAGTTTAGATTATAAACTTTTCGTGCAATAGTTGTTTTCCCTATGCCCCCCATCCCAAAGATCACCATTATGCCAACATCACTTGACCCATCTTGTAACCATAAATTAATTCTTCCGACTCTTGAACCTAATCCAATTGGGTACATGGCAAGACTCAAGACTGCGTCATTCAGTTTATTCTCAATCTCTTTGACAATATTGTGGATAAACTTTGACTCATACCTACAAAATGTGATCGAAGAGTAAAGGGGAAAAAAAACATCAATGAAACCTCAATAACCACCTATATATATTGGTGAACTGAGGTTGAAAGAGAGAGAGAGAGTACCATTTTCTTTTTATGTGAAATTATATTACCATTTGTTGTATTTATATCTTATGTAAATTTTGCATGCCTCGACAGTCTAAAATGATTTAAAAAAAATAAATAAAAAATTGGTAGTGTTGGTATACTTCAATCAAGTTTTAACATTATATTTCACAAATGATGAGGGAATTAGAAGCATCAAACAATAACAATTGAATAAAGTTCAAATTTATTATCTTTTTAAGTCAAAGGGTGACTATGGAAAGGACTTTCAGTTCAGGAAATTAATTACCCATCATTCTGATTTTGTAGTACCATCCCAGCTGAATTTGCAACTTCTCCAAGTGCTTCCCTCCACCCTTTCATCTTTTCCATCCAATACTCCTTTTTCCTTTCATCAGTTTCCATCCTGAGCTTCTCTTCATGTTTAGCAAATGCTTCTGCAAAACTCCCTGTTTGGTTCCTTACTTGGGATGGATACACGTAGTAGAATACCGGCAAAATTGTCCTCCCGGAGTTGATCCTCTTGCATTGTAGGATCTTAACAAGTTCTTCCAGACACCATCTTGAAGAAGCATAGTTCTTTGAGAAGACAATTATCGAAATACTTGACTGCTCAATTGCTTTTCGTAGTTCTGACTCGAAATTCTCTCCTCTCTCGATTTCATCGTCCCAGAACGTTTGAAATCCTGCATGCACCAAAGCTGTGTAGAGGTAGTCGGTAAAGGTCTTTCGAGTCTCTTCACCTCAAAAACTCAAGAACACATCATAAGCACACATGGGTGGAGAAGAGGAAGCTTCTTGGGCTCTGCCAGCAGCCATTGAACAGATATCTAAAAGTAGTTTGTTTAGTATTCTGCCAAAAGCACCATAAAAATGTATGGAAGATGACATATATATATACATATAGAGAGATAGAGCGAGCGAAAATTAACTACAGAGCAGTCTACCTTTGCCTTGGTGGCTTTAAGTCTTAACTCCCAAGTCAAGGTTTCAAGAATGGTAGAGAAAAAGAGAGGGGGGAATACAAACCTACACACAGTACCCCTGACTTCTGAAAAATTACTGTGACCTCCCTAAACGTTTGTTTTTTTGTACCACTTTCCTCCATCCCTAGACCGTGAGTGAACATTTGAGAAAGTTGATATCAGCAGAAAAAACTAACCCGATCCCATTTTTTTTCCCTACTACAAGGATGACAAAAAGACAAGATTGCCCTTAGCTTCATCTACTTATCAACGATATCTCATTTACCTCTGATATAGATATTTAATTTCGATTTATTTATCACAATTATAAGTCTACATTACAAGATTAATTAATATAATTACATACAATTAATCTAATCTAAATAGTAACTTATAATCTTATTTAGACATATGCAATTAAGAAAAATACACATTTCTTTTATAAGCAATAACATATGCATTTATGAAACTAAATAAATAAATAAAAGAAGAAGAAGAAGAACACACATGCATTTAATATCCCCTCGAACCCAACACTACACCAACTTGCACCTTCTCGTCATTGACGGAGAAGTTGATGTTTATTACCAAAAGACGAGTTATATAATCTGTGATGAACACCATAGAAACCCAATTTAAAGTTAACCAAAAATGAAAAATCAAAAGAAAATATACTGAGAAATTAAAAGGCTTACCATAAAATATTTTTCACTTTTTCATTCGTAAAGAATCACCTTTTCACCTGAGAACAAGCCAAGAAAAGCCATTAACACAAAAATAAATTTTTAAATAAAATTCAATATATAACTTTTTAGAGAGATTGAGAGATCCTACTTAGAATTAGGGCTATGATTGAAGCAATTCATGACAATCAATTCAATATTTAAGTATTATTGGCTTCTGAGTATCTAAAAAATTTAACCTTTTTGGTGAGATTGAGAGGTCCCTACAGAGTGAATGAACATAACAATATATATATATATATATATATATATATATATATATATGTATGTATAATTATACATATATTCAGAGAGAAAATTAATCAATCATATATATTGGGAACAAGTGTTTCTATGTCTACCATTTAACATGTGAGTTCATAAAATAGATACTAAACCATGAATCAGTATATCTATTGAAGCTGTGTGTGTGTGAGAGAGAGAGAGAGATTACTGGATGGAAATGGCCGAACTGAAGGTTCTCCGTTTCGGCTCCATAGTGAAGATTGCCCTCTTACCAATCTGATTCACAAAATATGATCCTCTAATATGGTTATTTTGGACGTCTCTTACATTCTATTGACTTTTTAATTAAAATAATAATAAAAAATAAAGGCACAATGATAATTTACAACATTTGTTATGCGACAAACTTCGGTAGGAGATTCAGTGTAATTTTTCAAAACTGGAACACATAGTACTAGAGTGTATGTTTAATAAGCTCCAGGAAAGTCATATGTAAATTTCCACATATACGTGTATTTGTAATAATCAAAGTCAATGGAAACCCAAAAAAAAAAAATCATGTAAAGGAAAGTGTCCAGGCGTTAACACAATTTGGAAGATTGAAAAATACATAAAATTCAAAGTCAATGAAAACCAAAATATGGTGGGGTAACACTCAAGTAACAGATTGATTCATGGTTTCCACATGAGGCTAGACATAAGAGAATAAAAATGACCAGAAAATTGTGCCATTTTCCAACCATGCTTTCATGTATATAGAAAGAATATTAAATTTTTTCTAAATAAAAAGGTGAAGAAATGTTTAAGATGACTTAAGCAAACCGGGTATGAAACTTGCCATTTAGTACTTCCTCCGAAACAAACTCAACGACACAAGCTCAAGACGATGATGTTGAAATGAACTGGCAATTGCCGTTTTCTGTCTTCCATTTTATATTTAAACCAGTTACGTGCATATTATTCCTAGCTTTAAATTATCTATGTTTAATGTTCTGTTGTGGGGGAGAAGAATTGAGGAAAATGATAGAACACCTAGTGGGCAACTTCCCATTTTATCAATGTCATGTTATTGAAGACTTCTAAATTCCCAAAACTTCGGAGTTGGACAGGGTCAAGCTGCTCATCATTTATGCATAAACATTTAACCACCATCTTCTTTATAAACTAAAGCAATTCATTACAAACAATGCAATATTTAAATATATTGGCTTCAGGGTATTTCAAAAAAAAAATTCAGAGATCGAGCAAACTAATCAATCACGTGAATACATAAAATAGGTACTAAAACATCAATCAGTCCATGAATTGCAGCATGGAAACGGAGAGAGACAGAGTTTACCGGTAACGGAAAACTGTTTACCGGACGGAAATCGCCGAACTCGAAGGTCCTCCTTCTCCGTTTGGGCTCCATAGTGATGGATCGCTCTCTCTCTCTTTACTAATACACAAATGAAAACTCGTTTGTTTGATATCTCTCTCACCGATCTCTCCCTCTGCCCACCATCTTTACTGGTAACGCAAAACTGTTTACTGGGCATCCATTAGCTCCGTCTTGGCCCCTGGGTATAAATGAGTTACGTGTTAGCCCACCTAATAATTTACTTGGGAAGCACCTGACACGCTACAATCAACTATAAACATGTAGTGCGAGTCCTCCGAACTATGTTACAATAGATCATAAACATGTCAAAAATTCCGGACCATGGTCGCTGGATCAATTACAAAAAGTTATGACTCTTTCAGGCATACGGCTGCGTGAGTATACTACTTGGGTATGCTTGCTTTATACACCAAGGGATTATGCTTCTTATCGGTTGTACTTTGCGATGTGGGACTTCCTTACTGCTGAAATGACTTCTATTATGGCCATTTCAAGTTTCAATCTGCATCTCTCTGCCTCCATTTTATTCCCATCTTCATTTCTCAACACACGGCTGCGAGTCTAGCGTTTGTTTTTTTAATCTATCTGAGCCATGCTTATCAAAGTTGTTCAAGCATGTTCATTTTATAAGATTCAAGTAGAATAAAAAAACAAGAGCATCTTTGTGTCACTCAGGAAAGTGGGGGTAAGAGCAGCTGTAGTGGGGTAGCTTAAAATCTTGAGGCCCACTTTTCCTCGCGGGCCGGCTCGCGGAATACTGCTAGTCGGCTCGCGATTGTTATAATTTTTTTTTGTTTTTTTCTGTTGCAAAACGGCACTGCTTTCGGTTGCCTTTTTTGTTTTATTCTCAAACGCTCCTAGAACAGTGGCCTGGAACAGGGCTCAAACAGTGCCTTGGCAGATTTTTTTTTTTGAAAAAACCTACAAATAGGTTATTTTGAGCTTTTTTTTTTTTTTTTTTTTTTTTAATAAAATTCATTAAATAAAAAATATATTGTTTAGGCACTGTTTGTGTATAATTTAATATATATATATATTTAAATTCATTAAAATAAAAATATATATATATATATATAATTTTTTTTTACATTCAGGAAAGTGGGGGTAACAAGACAACATGCAACGAGCATCTTCAATCATTGTGCATAATTTTTTTTTTTTTTTTTTTTTTTTTTTTTGTTTGTAAATCTGATTTGTCATAATGGATTTATACAAAAAAAATTAAATTATTTATTTTTAACTCCAGCGGTTATTTTATACTTTTTGTGCAAAAAAAATCCCCCAATAACAACCAACTAGTGTCATGTCTGGACCCCACATAATTTTTACAAACCTACTTAATATAGGGTTGATTAATGAGCAAGAGGGAGGAGAAATGAAATATGTTGATGTGGTAGTGTAAAAAGGTTAGGTAAAATACACAATAATTTTACACATCAGTGACGTAGTAGTGTATCTTAACAGACTGTTAGAGATAAAAAAAAATTTACACATCATACCTGACAGTGTATATTTTACACAAAAGAGTATTTTAACAGACCGCGAGCATCTCCAACCGTTGTGTATATTTTTTTGTGTAAATCTAGTGTGTCATAAGAGCTTCGTTGTGTATATTCTTTTGTGTAAATTTAACGTGTCATAGCAAATTTACACAAAAATTTTGAATTATTTATTTTTAATTCCAGTGGTTGTTTTGTACCTTTTGTGTAAAAATATATTCCCCAATAACAATCAACTAGTGTTATGTCTGGAATCACATAATTTTTACAAATCTACCTAATATAGGGTTGATTCGTTAATGGAATGAGAAAGAGGGAGAAGAAAGAAAATATGCTGACGTGGCTGTGTAAAAAGGTTACATAAAATACACAATAACTTTACACATTGGTGATGTGGCTTACAAACTTACTTAATATAGGGTTGATTAGTTAATGGAATGAGAAAGAGGGAGGATAAAGGAAATATGCTGATGTGGCTGTGTAAAAAAGTTGAGTAAAATACACAATAATTTTACATATTGGTGACATAGCAGTGTATCTTGACAGACTGCTAGAGTTAAAAAAAAAATTTACACATCATATGTAGTTGTTTATATTTTACATAAAAGAGTATTTTAACAATGTGAGGGAAAAATCTCTCTATCCAATTATAATCAACCACGTCACCATAACATTTTTCACTATATTTCCCTTAGGTCGCCCGACTCAGAAAGCCTAACGAAGTAAGCCCAGGATAGGGGAAGGTTTGAAGACAGGCTAATCCCATATCTTCGGCCCAATCCAAAGTCTGCCATAAAGAAAGTCCACCATATCTTTTTTTAGTACACGTATTATTTAGTGATTGATTGGAATTAATGGATTCGTAATAATTTATTGCAACTATAAAACTAAATAAATTCAAAACATTTAGTTGTACTTGAACTATTCAATAATTTTTTGTAACACGCGGCTTTCTTTGCATAAAGTTAAATGCGAAAACAAATATAATCCATTGATATGGTTATTATTTCATTTTTTTTTTTCCATAGGAAGACGATAATTAGAAGGCACAAGAATGAGATCTAAGGTATTGAAGATGAGAATGGGCGTTGGCTTGATAGTAAAGAGGCGATTCGTGGAGTGGCCGAACGTTACTTTCGAAACTTTTTTTCCTCATAATCAACTGTCGATTACTCTGATCTCTGGCATATTCTCCCACGACGGATTTCTGAGGACATGAATGGAGACCTTATGAAGTTGGGCACGGAAGCTGAAATCAAAGAAGCGTTTTTTTCCATGAGTCCTTTTAAAGCCCCTGGGCCAGATGGCTTCACGCCTTTTTTTCTTCCAAAAAAATTGGCAGCTTGTCAAAAGGGATCTGGTCAATGGTTTTAATGAGTTTTTGTCCTCGGGTAGCATGCTCAGGGGCTTAAATCACACCAACATTGTTCTTATTCCTAAGATCAAGCATCCTATAACTATGTCTCATTTTCGGCCTATCAGTTTGTGTAATTTTATTTACAAAATTTTCTCTAAGGTCCTCGTCAACCGTCTTCGACCTCTAATGGCTATCCTAATTTCGGACCATCAGATTGCTTTTGTGCCCTACAGAGTCATTCATGAGAACGTGTTCCTCGTTTATGAATTCATGCATTACCTCAAGGCCAAAAGGAATGACAATTTTGGCTTTCTGGCCTTCAAGCTTGATATAGAGAAATCTTATGATCGTATTGAATGACACTTCCTTGAAGGTATGCTCCAGAGTTTTGGTTTTGGTAACCAATGGGTTTCTCTCATTTTGTCCTGTGTTAACTCAGTTTCTTTCTTTGTGCTGATTAATGGCAAGTAAGGAGGCATTCTTCAACCTTCCAGAGGTCTGCGCCAAAGAGATCTGCTCTCGCCTTTTCTTTTTCTCTTATGTGCTGAGGGTTTAAGCATATTGTTGTCGCATGCTGAACGGAGTAACACCATCCATAGGGTGAAGATTGGCCGTGAATCTCCCTCTGTTAGTCATATGTTGTTTGCGGATGATGAAATCCTCTTTTGTAGGGCTTAGGTAGAGGAAGTCTCCTCTTTGATGAATATTCTTGATCATTATTCCTCTCTATCAGGTCAACGTATTAATTTTTTTAAATCCGGCGTTTTCTATAGTCGCAATACCGATAACTCTGTGCGCTCTCATCTATGTCGCATCATGCGAGTCCAAAACTCTAATTAGGCGAATAAATATCTTGGTCTTCCTTCTATACTTCAAAGATCTAAAAGGGAAGCGTTTCATTTTTTGTTGGATAAAATAGATTCTAAAGTCAAACTGTTGAAAAACAATTATCTCTCTCGAGCTGAACGAGAGACGTCATTAAAATTAGTCTTAGCGGCCCTCCCGACATATACCCTCCAATGTTTTAAAATGACTGACTCATTTGCTCAAGAGATTTCTAGCAAACTTCGTTTTTTTTGGTGGAAAAGGGTGGGTGAAGGCTCAGCCATTAATTGGGTTAAATAGGAGTGACTGTGTGAGCCCAAATGTAAAGGTAGTCTCGATTTTCGCGACATTCTGGATTTCAATTTGGCTCTTCTTACTAAATTCGGATGGAAAATGATTCAAGAGGACTCCTCCAACGAGCACTCTTTATTTTAGTTAATTTTCAAGTCTAAATATTTTCCAGACTTCTCCTTCCTTGATTCTCACTGTCCAGCAAATACGTCTCGGGGATGGAAAAGTATTTCGGCTTCCGAAAGTCTTCTTTAAAAAGGGCTCCTATAGGTTGTTGGTGATGGTTTTTCCATTAATATTTTGAATGACAATTGGCTCCCAGATGGAAGTCGCCCAACTTCTTCATCATCATCGTGCTGTGCCCTGGTCCAGAAAGTTGAAGAGCTTATTGATCAGGATTCTAAGTCATGGAATAGGCCCCTGATCAATCAGCTCTTTAATCTCAGAGATTCGAGGCTCGGCTTTCAAATTCCCTTGAAGATTTCTGGTGGAAGGGATCGTCTCTCATGGGGGCCTTCTTCGAATGGGCTATTCACAGTCAAATCAGCATATAAGTTGGCTTGAAAGGGATTGCAGTTTGCGGATTGCCACCGCCCTGCTTCTAGTATCATTCAAGAGAGGATGGTCTTTGGAAATCTATATGGCATTTAAAAGTTCCAAGAAAGGTTATTTTATTTATTTGGCAATGTTGCCATGACAGGCTTCCTGTTCATGCTAATTTGGTTTTTAGAGGATATTGGGTTGATCCCCATTGCAAAAGGTGTGGCTTCGAGATGGAAACGATTGGGCATGTGTTTTTCTTTCACCCCTTTACTAAGGTGGTTTGGAAAACTTCCCCTCTGAGAGAGATTATTTTAGATGAGTTCCCCCAATTTTAGAGCCAATCATGGTCCATTCTTGTTGATAAATAGTCCCTCAGCCCCCTTAAAGATGACTTATGCAGTTTGGGTGCTCTTATTTGCTGGAACTTGTGGAAGTTTAGAAATGATTATGTCTTTCAAGACATCCAGAGTGATGTGGCTAAGGTTATTTATTAGGTTAATGCCGATTTCTTGAAGTTCAGTGAGGTTTCTAGATATAAATCTCTATTCTCTACAAGGTCGTAACTCGTTCCCCCCATCCCTCTTGGTGGACCTCTCCCCTTGAAGGATCGTTTAAGCTTAATGTTGATGTTTCTTTTGACTC